AAAGATTATAGTATTTTTGGGGTCTATATTGGGGTCCCCTTATTTTGGGAAACTACCATTTAGAGGTGCGGATTGAAAGGCAAGATGGGTTTAGGATTTTTGTAGGGTTTAAGGGCTTAAGGATTAGGGGTTGAGGTTGTTTTGGGGTGTTTTGTAGTTTGGGGTCAGGCTGTGGTGTTTTCTGATGTCGCACATGTCACAACGCCAGAGTGCAGGCTCTGAGGCCCCCTATGAGTTATAGTCTAAACTAGAGGGGTCATATATGGGATTATATAGGGGAGTATTATAGGGATTATTCAGGAGGATACTAGGTCTAGGACTAAACCGTAAACCCTTAGGAGTTTAGACTTCAGCTCATGTGGCTTAGCAGCGCAGCCGGCCTCAAGTGTGCCAAGGTAGTGAATGACCTCGGGCACCCGTGATGTTGAGAAGCACCGCTACTGGCATGCATCTACTTAGGGGTTTCCCAAAATTAGGGGTACCATTTTGGGGGCCCCTATACTGAGGACTAATATTTTGGGATCTATATTGGGGTCTCCGTATTTAGGGAAACTACCACTTATCATCAGAAAATAAATGAAAACGGCCCTTCCGCATCAGCGAATCCCGATATCCACAAGGACGAAATGTGTTTGGACCCCTAACCCCTAAACCTTATACAATCCTTATATAACTCCTTATATAACCCAGTATAGTAGTTTCCATTTTATTTTCCATTAACCCTATGTGCACATATATTACCCCTATAGAACCCTTATATGATCCCAATGTACTCTAAACCCTAATCCCTCAGGGCAAAAAATTGTTTTGGGCCCTAACCTGGAGGTCACTCGGCAACCTGTACGGGTCCGTGCACCAGGCTATATATTAGGGTCATATTCTAGTATATTACAGCATATTACAGTACACTATAGTATATCAAAGTATATTAGGGTCATATAGTAGATTATAGTATATATTAGGGTTATATGGGGATAGTGGAGAAGAAAATGGAAGCTACAGGGATTATAGGGCTTTTATGCGGATAATTGAAGAGAAAAAGAAAAATATCGTCATGTGGTTATACTCCTTGAAGGATCTTCCACATAAAGAAGGGCTGTCGGGGCTCTGCCTTTGGGGGCCTTGAGGGCATGTGCCTGCTCGACCCTGGAGATTGCAGACTGCTGTATTCACTTTGGGCAATCCTCAAGAAAGGGAGACCCTCGATACACCAACATCATGGGGTTTTCATTGCCCGCATGTCTCGTCGATACACTAGTGTCAAGCTCATGTAGTTTGAGCCCAGTTGCTAAATTCATGCAAGAGGCTTTGGGAGATCCATTTATGTGAGGACAAGCCGAGCAAGCCCCGGGCACGCAGCTGAAGCTTGAGAAGCTTTGTCTGAATATTATACTCGATAGGGTATAGGGCTTAGGGTATTCCGAAAGGTGTGAGTGAATTGCAGGGATAACAAAGTATAAGTGTAGGTTGACGAAAGTGTGGTCCATCTTTTTGGATCCCTTACATTAAGGTGCGGCCCCACGTATCCAGGGTACCCCAAGAGGACCATGAGCTGGACAACCCCATATCAGCCACGGTCAATATTTCCCATACAAGTAATAGACATTGGTTTAGGGGTTTAGGGGTTTAGGACTCTGTTAGGAACTGTATTGAACTACAAGAGGGAGCCTTATGTCCACTGTAGAGGCTCCCTTAATAAGGCCAATATTGACAGGAACTCAGGAACATCCCATTAGTCCCCCTTAAGTAGATAGACTATGGGGTATATGGGGATCTTATTACAATACAATATACCCAAAGCCATATTCTATCTACTTAAGGGGCCTATAAACCCCTACATAATCCCAGTTTCCATTTCATGTTCCATTTTCTTTACCATTTGATTCTCCATTATCCCTAAACCCTCAACCCCAAATAGCAGCTCCTATGCTTCCATTACCTCTACATCATCCCTATTCTTTGGGGCCTGTAATGCGAAATGCTCTAAGAATCCATGCCCTCCTTGATACGCACCAGGAAGCTTCTGAGCTGCGGGCGGGGTCCAACCAATCTCCTTCAACACGGTTTTTACGGTTTAGGGTTTGGTAGTTATGGGTTTGGTAGTTAAGGGTTTGGTAGTTCAGGGTTTGGTAGTTTAGTGTTTGGTAGTTTAGGGTTTGATAGTTTAGGGTTTGGTAGTCTAGGGTTTGGTAGTTAGGGGTTTGGTAGTTAAGGGTTTGGTAGTTTAGGGTTTGGTAGTTTAGGGTTTGGTAGTTTAGGGTTTGGTAGTTTAGGGTTTGGTAGTTTAGGGTTTGGTAGTTTAGGGGTTTGGTAGTTTAGGGTTTGGTAGTTCAGGGTTTGGTAGTTTAGGGTTTGGTAGTCTAGGGTTTGGTAGTTAGGGGTTTGGTAGTTCAGGGTTTGGTAGGTTAGGGTTTGGTAGTTTAGGGTTTGGTAGTTAGGGGTTTGGTAGTTCAGGGTTTGGTAGGTTAGGGTTTGGTAGTTTAGATATTGGTAGTTTAGAGTTTGGGAGTTCAGGGTTTGCGAACTTAGGATTTGGGATTAGGGCTGAAGGCTGTAGCCAAGAGGGCTTGGGCTTGTTTCAATTCATACGTCTACTCTCACGACCTGATGTACATAAGTCAGGTAAGTCCAGACTAATGTCGCCAGAATGACAGCTGAACACAGGTCAGCTTTCTCACCAACTGCAAGCAGCTTGGTTTGATGGCTCCCACCTGGCTGCGGCTGCTGGCATCGAGGATGACGGGCCTCGATGGCAGCTCTGTATCAGCCGCACCGTACCCCCGCTTCATCATCATCTTTCTTTCGTGTTTCAGAGCACTTGTGCTTCCTGCGACTCTTGGCCACCCGCGTGGTAGGCCGCCAGGGCGGGACCTTGGTACAATCTTCAGGAAGTGCCGAAACACGCTGCTCAGTGACTCAGTACCCTCACGCATGTGCTCAACAGAAGCACAGACCTCTTCTGGTGCCGGCGCCAGCGCCTCGGTCGCACCTTGAAGCACATTTATCATCGGAAGTATGCAGCAGAGCACGGCGCCATTTCGGGCTCTATACACTTCATGCCTATAATTGCAGTGGCTGGCACAAAAAAAGTACTAGAGAGGAAGTGCGAGGCTCGCTCACGCTCCTGCGATTCGCGTTTTGGCTGAAGACTGCCCAGGGACCTGCCCCGCTATCTCGCCCGGAGACTTGTGCAACAGACCTGATCTGATCCAACGGCAGTTTCAAGTCTTGCCAGGCATCCCACACATACACACGTAGCGCGTGCAACATACACCAAGAGGCGGATAAGTTCAACTTCCCTTACGAAGCCAAAGCCCCAACTACATCCGTCCGCTGCAGGCTGTGCTGTTAAGAGCTATGGGCTTCATCAGCACAGGTCTCATCAAAGAGCCAGACTTCACTTGTTGCTGGTTTCACACAAGGATGGAAAAGCGTCACTAAAATCACTTGACCCTGTCATCAGATCCAGACGGTAGGAGGGCTGCCGCGACTTGGGACAGGCGCAGCTCCAGTTCCTGGGCGAGGCTCCAAAATGAGGTTGCGGCTTTTTTGGTGGACTCTTGGGGCCAGGCAGGCTCTTTCACCTGCTTAGGTGAAGGTGGCACCAGGATAGCCTGAGACAGTCTTCTGCAAGTCGTGATCAGGCAACAAACCAAGCAACCATAGACTGCCTACGCACTTCTGAATGTAGTTAGTCTCGTAGGCGCCGCACCCGACCCAGTTGAGGGGAAGTGGGCGACCCTGGAGCTGCAGCCTGGGCAGATTGTGGACTCGCCAGTTGTAAGCTCAGAGTGCCTAATCCGCAACCAAGCTACAAGCAGGCCCGATTCAGCTAGGAGTGAATGTCCAGAGCTTTAGCAGAATGCCATGAATCTGTATAAGGAACCAACAGGCATGTGTGGACAGATGACGACGACTGATGGCGCTTTCATGTGCTTTCCCAACGAAGTAAAGCTGATTTGTTCTGTCTGCTGTCCCAACCCTTTTCTTCAGGTGCTGCAGATTGCAAACAGTTTCATATCTCCTTCACACAACAGTAAAAGGGCTCCCAGGCCGAAAGTTCGAGCCCCTGGGCAACAAGCTCTGGTTGATGCCTGCGGTGACGAACTTGGTGACTGCGGTGCTGCTGAGGCCTGCATGGGCTGCCACTAAAACTGTTGATTCGCTACAATATCTCGAGGCCTTGGAACTTGGCGAACCATCGGGTGCACTTGGAGTCTGCACCTTGAAACAGGTATGTGCAACAAGTGCAAAATGTGCAAAATCCGCAAAAATCATGCCAAGTCAATACGCACAAGCTCACAGCTGGTAAGTACAAACATGCATTCCAGATGCTACCGGCATCTCGCTGGGTGTTGTCGCTTCTACAGGCTGCACCTGCGGCGGCGTCACGACGTCTCAAAGGGGATGCCTTCTCGGGATCTTCTACGGGAGGATTTTGGACGAGACAAGGGGCTCCACGCCACAGCATGGCAACATAGACTTCAAAAAAAACGAGCCTTTGCAATGCTACATGAAGTCTCCCCAATCTATTTCCTTCTTCAATATCCCACGGAAACTGCCCCATCCTGAGTTCTGAACCTGTGCAACCAGCCCACGTCTCCTTTTGAGGACCCTGTCTTACCATCTTTCTCGCAAAAGTGCCTTCACGTGCTCTGCCTTTGGTTGAGTTGGACCAGGCTGGCTTTTGGCCACGGTCCGCTCCACTGTGGATAGCACCTGAAATGCGAATCATGACGAGCACTACTGCCAGAGCAGCAACCACAACAGGACAAAACAATAACACTTAAAAAACTAGTATAGTAATACTATATGATAATAATCCTGGGGGTAGGAGGAACCATGAGTTCGGGGCCGCAACATTGTAGTGGCTTCCGACATGCCCCTTGCAACCATCCTCCCTCCTTACCAAGAGCCTTCTCGGAGGAAAGGGCTTGGGGAAGGGGGGATTCCACCTCAAGGCTCTCCTGGACATCGTGGCCCCAAGCTGTGATGATACACTGTAATGCCTCATCATAATCCATATGAGCCATAGCCTAAACTCCTTAAAGAAGGGGGATACTCGGACTTTCAACTATAGCTCCTATAAACAACAATATGGTCACAGTTTCCATGTCATATGTCATTTTCCATCTTCTTTTCCATTTGATTCTCCCTTATATAGCTCATAACACCCATCATAGCAGTTTCCATTTTACTTTCCACTATCCCTTTATATCCCCAATATAAATCTAATCTCTATATAATCCCTATATAACCTCTATGTTACCCTATACAATTCCTAGTCCTATATAAACCCTTAAACCGCTGTTTAAGCCTATAGCTCATGTCTTCTTCGCTCGCTTGTAGCATCTTGCAGCTGGACAGGGGCCTCTGTATTTACAGGGGTTATTTAGGGTTAAATAGGGATTATAGGGGTATAGTATTGGGGTTATATAGGGATAATGGAAAAGAAAATGGAAACTACTATAATACAGAGGGCCCCAAATAATTACCTATATAATTTTGAAGTCCGTTTGAGGTACCATATACTTAATTATACGAGGAATATGGAACCATCATATTGGTAATTAGTAATTATTTAGGCCCCTACAGTACTAGCCACCGCTAGCTGCTACGAGCTCTACTTATAATTGGGGCAACTATCCGGTGAACCAAGGAAGCACCAGGGACTTGAGGAAGTGAACAAACCGAAGGTGGTCTTCACAGGCCGTGCTCTTGCGATTGACTCTTCGCGAATGATGGCAATGGAGTTTATGCAAGGGGTTGCAGCAAAACATGAACGTGACATACGTGACATAGGCTTAGCACCCATCACATTGCGAACGGTGCTAATGTAAGTGCCTAGTAGCTGAGAGACTATCCGAACACGGACAGCTACACATGTTCTCACAAATGCTGAGTGGTCCTGACCTCTTCAGCAAATCTTTTCAACGACTGGTTTCAAAAGTCCTCCCAGAATCAATCTCTGCCGTCGCTGGATGCATCAAATTCCGTGTCCATCTCAGGCCTAGCGGTCCTCTCGGAAAACAAAGAGAGAGAACGCTGCTGCAACAATGATTGCTTTTTCAAAATTCCTGGAACCCATGGCCAAGACTTGGGCATGGGGTCCGGGAATTTTGAAAACAATCACTGTTGCAGCAGCGTTCTCTGCAGTCGCTCTGCGCGCCGTTCTTGCATGGCTTACGGCAAACTGGTCCTAAGAGGATCCCATCATAGGCCAGGATATCTCAACCTTAACTTCGTTAACGTCCTGTTCGTTGATGATGCCCTGAGCCTTCTCGCCGCTTTCATAAATGATGTTTCCCAAGGCACAAGATTCTGCCGCCTGGTCTGCACTTGAGCACCAAGCTTCCCAAGCCGTTCGGCCTCATCTGCAGCATGGTCAGCGGAGACTGCCTTGGCCTTGGTGCCATCCTGGCAAAGAACCGAGTCCCGATCCAGAGGCCCTTGCCCTTGATGAGAGCGAGGCATGCAACCGTCCCAGACAACATTTTGAAATCCGCCTGCTTGTCAGCTGCGGCCAAGTGTGTCAGCGTAAGCTCCTCGTCGCCGTGCTCGAATGCTAGGCGGGCGGCTCTTGTTACATCGTTTTTGTCCTGGAGATCTTTGCGAGAATGTTGGAAAGGATCTTCTTGAGCATTGGCACTGCTTCGTTGCAAGCATGCCCATCATAGTTCCATCTGGCAGCACTTGTGCTTTGAAACTGCCCAGCCAAAGTCTGCGCCACCACCGCTGCCTTCTTACAGGAACGTCCCCTTTTGAAAGGACAATGTCTTTATATTGCCATACAGTTTCGGGGGGGATATGGGCGCATAGTCTGCCCCCAAGCTACAGCCAAGCGGCGACGGTGACCTGCCCGGGCAGCCGCTGCAGAGTCGGCCGCGGCCCCCGCGCTTCGAAGCCCGCTGTGTTCGCAGGCTCTGAATGGGTGTGCAGCCAAGCCGGCTGGGCCTCCATTATCCCTATATAACCCCTATATATATCATAATATAGTAGTTTGCATGTTCTTTTCCATTATCGCTATGTAACCCCAATATATACCCTATTGTAATACAGTGTTCGGAAGAGCGCACAGCTGAACGGCCATGTGCTGCGGGCTACGCCCTGCTGAATTGGTCAAGGAGCGATTTGCAGGCCAGAAGGCACACTGCGAACATTGAAACCTCGTCTGTCAAAGTTGAACGCAGACACCTGTGATCTTGCAGTCAATGAACACTTCACGCCCACTGCATGTGGTCTGTGCAGATGAAGATATCTCAACGCAAAGCCGCGCATGCTCGCAGCACATACGCAGTGTTTGCTGAGCAACTGCGTGCAGATGTCGGCGGGGGCGTCGCTGTCAATAGCCTCAGACTGCACAGGAGAGCTGTATGCATAAATGGGTTGTCCTCAAAATTATCGGCCCCCTTCGGTTCAAGATTATATTACGGCACCTCATATTTGTGGGTACCAACTTGGGACCCTAATTTTGGGAACCACCTAAATTGATTTCATGCCCCGACAAGCAAAGCGGAGGCTTCTGACATCTTGGCCCAGATGAGCTATAGTCTAAACTCCTAGTATCCCCCTTAATAATAACCCCTATAGTAGTCCCATATATATTCCCCTATATAACCCCCTTTAAGGAGTTTAGACTATAGCTCAGATGTGCAGCCCGGCTACCTCGCAGAGGCCGGTGGTGAAGCCTCGCCAAGGCGCACGGCGGGCAGCGACGCAATCACCTCAAAAGCATTCAAAAGCTCGGTGGGGGGGTCTGCACAGGCATCACATGAGCTACTGCCTAAACTCCTAGTATCCCCCTTAATAACCCCTATAGTAATCCCCTATAGAACCCCGTATATAACCCCCTTTAAGGAGTTTAGATTATTGCTCACATCAACCGAATGCTGCCGAAATGCCCCTCGAGCTGGAGGAGGCACAGGAGGGCTGTGCCAGACCTGGATCAGGCGTTTCAGACGTGGGAACCCTGGTGCCAGTATATTGGGGTAATATTGGGATAATGGAAAAGAAAATGGAAACTACTATAGGGTTTAGGGTTGCCCAAAATTACCCCCAATAATGGAGAATCAAATGGAAAAGAAAATGGAAAACGAAATGGAAGCTGGGAATATATAGGGGTTATATTATGATATGGCTCTTCAATTTTTATTTGGGGATGAGGAATTCCTGACACTGATCCGTTGAAACAAGGCAAAGGCAATCTAGCAGGACTCGGTTTTCAGTTGAGCTGAGCGACTGCCGGAGCTGCGGCGTGCGCCGCCGCATGCGGAGCACTCTGAAACTGGAACATGGCTGGGCAAAAGCCAAAGGTTGCCTTTCTGGTCTTGTCCTGCCGTGCCGCTACATCCTCTGTATTTGAAGGCTATTGTCCTGCACAAAGTTGCCTTGCTTCACGCATCATACTTTCACACGAAACACAAGGTAAATCCCGTGCGTGCATGATGTTCATGGTCATTAATCAAATCTGTTGCATTGCCACAACTGCCAATAATCGAGACATTGCCCAATGCAGCGTTTCTGGTGTTCAAAGGCTTTGGCGCGTTTGGCCGGGGTCAGTGGATGTTTTCATGTAAGTTTGGGGGCAAGAAGTGCTTCTGGCACAACGAAGTACTGCTGTAATGCTGTTGAATCAAGGACTGCATGGTTTGGGGAATAGACATGGACAAAAAGAATGCAGCATGATCTGATGGGACCGGCTTTGCAGTGGAGTGTGCGGTCTTACCTGCCCCCGAGACATGAGCCCTGTTACTAAGCAAAACATGCAAAACATTGCCTCAGAGGCTTTTCTAGGCTCCCCCCTAGTTCAAATGATTTCAGCAAGGTTTAGTCTAGTTCAGGCTTAGGTAACTAAACCAAGGCTCTCCCATTTCCGGAGAGATGCAGTCTGCCCTCATGTGGTCCGAATGCCCAGCGCCTTTTTCCGGGGCACGCATGGTAGATTCACAGCGCTCTCCACTCAGTCGTATACTATGCGTCAATGTGCACTGGGATGGTCGCAAGACAGCCCCATCGGGCAAAGACTGCGCGGTTGATGCAGTTGTCAGATAATTGTACCAGGGAACCGGCCCACGAGCCAACATCCCAGAACAAGCGCATTCTCACGGCTAGAAGTGCCTAACATCCTTTGGCATATGTAGTCCTACACTGTTTGTTGCAGGCTGTGCATGCAAGCTTGGGCAGCTGTTCAAATCGCACCTCAGTCCTCTGCATGCCCTCATCTTAGGGTTTAGGGTTTAGGGTTTAGCTGGACCGATGCTTGTGCCAGTCACCCTTGTAACTTGAGTCTTGCTTGGAGCCTCTGCTTGTCTATGAGTGCAGCCAGCGGAGGCAAGGGCTCCTGTAGCCATCAACTTACGGGTTCTTGCTAGGGAATAAGGGAATATGTTAGATAGGGAATAAATGGGGATTATATACCCTTATCCCCTGCTAAGAACCATTAAGTTGAAGGGGTTTGCTCTGAGCAGCTTCTGCAGCTGCTCTGCCGCAAGCTCCGGAATAATTAGTGGAGAATGCTTTCATAACCTAATCTAATATCCCGGACCAGGGACCGATGCAAAACTCAACTCGTTTGCCCCGGATAGTAGATGAATACGTTGTTCTACTGCATGCAGTTCAAGGAACATGTCTATATGCATGTTTTCTTAACGCGGCAGCCCTTCCCGCTCAAACTTCGAAAGGAGACTGACTGCTTTTCACCTGGCAGGTGCAGCCAAGATTGAGTCTGAGTATAAGCTGGGTTGCTGTTAAGGAATTAAGTTACCATAATCTGGGTATATCGTAAACAACCAGATTTCCCTACTATGAAAACTTATTAAGCTCCTTAACAGCAACCCAGTTTGTTGAGGAACTAACGTGCAGGAAATCGAGTCAACTCGAGGTCGCGACGTCCATGCTGAGATGTCGTGAAAGCGCTTAAAGGATGCAGCAAACAAAGCAATACACCCAGACCTAGACCCTTTCAGGGTTTGGTGTTTAGGGCTTAGGGTGTAGGGTTTTCTACACCCAGACCTAGACCCTGCACCGTGTCTGCACCCCTTCTGCACCTTGGCTCTTAGCTGCTGCTTCGACCTGGCAGCTGGATCAAGGCATCAGAAATCCATGTTTCCCTGCCGTTGGCTTCTCGCAGCCGCGGCAGAAGACAAAGGAAACACTCCCCATCATGTGAGCCATAGCAGAAGACAAAGGAAACACACTCCGCATCATGTGAGCCATCTCCCTTAGTAACCCCTAATAATCTATAATACTCCTCTATATAATCCCCTATATAAGCCCCTTTGAGGGAGTGTAGGTTATGGCTCATGTGCAGTCAGCAGCTGCTGGATGCATGACTGCAAGCTGCACCTCGGTCTTTTCTGTCGCGATCGCCACCACCACCACCGCTCGGCTGAGTTTGGGCTTCAGGTGAGCTACACATAGCATTTTTTTTCTGTGGGAGGGGTCTTTCGTGGTGTGTAAAGACGTCAAGGGGATTGTAGGGGTCCCATCAAGCGAGAGTCTCTAGGGCTTGTACAGGGAACTTGTTTAGAAACCCCCACATGGCACGGGCGTCATGTTCAGATCGTGTAACTGGCTGTGCAACACGTGGCTCAGAGACGTGAAGTTGTATAGCACGCGCCTTTCTGTAGCCCTCCGGATGTTTAAAGACACAGTCCTGACACCCAGGTGCTACAGAATCTGTCAATACAAATATGCGTCGCAGATTCAGGCCCAACCTCAACCAACAACCGCCGAGTCAAGTCAAAAAGCTACGGCCCTGAGCAACTGATGGCAGCATGTACCATGCAAAGTTTGGCTACGCCACTTCTTGCCCGTCCTTGCGGGTGCAGTCCACCCCAAACTTGCATGGAGTGTTCTCCATCCTGTAAGGCAGAATCAGCAGATGAGATGCTGCCGACTGCAGCTAATTGCACGGCGCGCCTTTCTCGAAGCATGCGGACTTCGCGATCATCAGGGTGCCTAGCTTCACACCGATCGCCTGAGCTTTTAAAGCATCATCATCTCTGTTGCCGTGGATGGTGACTTGCGTCCCATCTCTTGCTGAGAACCGTAAGCTGAAGACCCTTGCGGCATTTGTCAATAACCTTGGTTCCACACCCGGTTGGGATTCATTGGCATTTTCATGAGCTGGAGCACGTAAACAGACCATCCATGTCAAAAGCCTAAGCCTGCTGTGCTAGCTAGCCAAAACCATGCCGAGGTGCGTAGAGAAAGCATAGATTCGGAATGCCTGCCGCCCGGAAAAGCTGTGAAGCCATGCTGCTAATATTGCATCTGAGACAGCCAGTGCTGCTTTTGGCGCATGTTCCACGCAATACGCGCAGGGAGGGAAAAAGCACCCTCAACGTTACAAAGAGCAAAGACTGGAAAGCAGCAACTCCCCGGCTATGGCTCATGTCATGCTATCCAAGTAGGCTCGGGCTTACAATCTTAACCAGTGCAAAGGATGCCGGAGACACAAGCAAGCTCAAGCAAGAGTTGCAAGCAACTATAGCCAGTCCAATCGCAGCTTCAAAAAGAACAAGTCCCTGGTGCTGCCCCAACATAACCTGGTTCAGCAAGGCCCCCAAAAAGGAGTGCCCGGCCTCCTCCTTTGCCGCCACCCTTACCTGTCGAGACATCTTATGAGACTTGATTCCCGGGGAAGGACAGGTTTCTCAACAGTTTGGGCTCCATGTTTGGCTGTTGGAAGGAGGGCTGTGTTTTCCAACATTGGACCGCCTGGCCTTCGACAAACCTCTCGCTGCATCCTGCGCAGACCCTGAAATTCATCGTGGCACTTCTACCCTTCCTCTTCGCGCTTCGCGCTGGCCCAAAGATCTTGCAGAACGAAATGTTTCTGGCGATTGATTTTTGCAGGTCAACTGGAACTACGGCCGAAAAAAGCTGCTCAACGATGCTTTAGATGCAACTTCCTGATCTTCTGTGACTTGCAGATCAACTCAACCTGTTGGTAAATGATCATTGCAATGCTAGGTCCTACACGGTTCAGGTCTGATATGGTAGTTTCCCAACACAGGGGAAGCCGATATAGACCCCAAAGCACCATCATCCTTATGAGAGGGGCTCCCAAAAAGGTACCCCTCATGTGGGGAAAGCCCCATATGAGCCATGATCTAAACTCCTAGTGTCCTAGTCTCCCCCTGAATCAGCCCTATAGTAGTCCCTTATATAATCCCCTATACATGAGCCAGGGTTGCGGAGTTTAGAACATATCATCATATGGAACTTTCCCAAAATAGGGGAGACCCCAATATGGACCCCAATATACTGTAGTCCTTATTATGGGGACCCCCAAAAAGGTACTCCTAAGTTTGGGAAACCCTAAACCCTAAATAGTAGCTTCCGTTTTCTTTTCCATTATCCCTAT